AGGTGAAGAAAAATATCTAATATTCATAGTAATTTTTGCTTATCTTTCTCCTACTTGTTGTATTGTAGGTATGTCAAGAAGCTAATGTAATGAGATAATGGAGTAATTCCAGAGGAATCTTTTTAGGAAATGTAGGGTTTGATAGCTGTTTGTAAATGGAGACTGTATTCCCTTCTGTTCTTTACAGTTTGTTTCAAAGAACTGTAAATTACAACCAATTACAGAGAGAAAAAATTTTCTATGTTCTGTAAGTTTTTCTCTCTGATGGGAGAATATGCTAATGAAGTTATAAGTCCTTTGAGCAGCAAAATAACATTAGAGCTTTGGCTCACTCCTAGCACAGTCCTGTGTTTACAGTAACATTCAATGCATATTTATTGTCTAAGACTGGAGTATTTGCCCCCATATCAGCTGGTGAAATAAATCCAAGCCTTTGAGCTTTGTACAGTGCTAAGTTTGGATAAACTTTAGAAGAAAGTGTCCTAGGGGGTTATGTGAGGGTACTGGTTTGGCTAATCTTTTCCCCAATGGACTGCAGAAATGCAAAGGAGCATGCAGAATGTACATGTTACGGCATGGAAGGGAACTGACGTGATCTGAGTTTTCTTAGGAGCCTCTGCTCTTGGCAGTTGAATTTTAGGAAGGAAGGGCCCTTGCTAAGCAGTGCCACAGAAATAGGGGACAGGCAGCTGAGTTGCTTTAGCAATGAGTGGGAAAGGAAGGAAGCATCTATAACTTTCTCCACTCTTCACTGCAAACGATGACCTGACTGTGTGGAGTCATACTTCTCTGTGTGGACACCTGCTTCTGCAAAGGGCTGCCAGGCACAGGGACTGTATCAGTAGCAGTAGACCCATATTCCCTGCCAATAACTGGTTTATTCAAGGGTGTGAAATGAATCATCCACGAGAATGTAAAGAATCAAAGGGATAACATATGGTTAAACTGTGGGAGAGAGGTCCTTGATCCTGAGGGCAACCCAAAGAAGAAAATGGCTTTTTGCCTACTCTAGCAGTCGTAACTGGGTGCAATACATAGCCATCTTGATCATAGCAAGTAGCCCAGAGACAATAACTGGCACATGGAATATATCAAAAGAGTTAGACAGAAAACTAATTAATTCCTTGATATTCTTGTTGAGTGGATGAATAGCTGTTTCTGGGCTTCTTGTGTGTAATAATATATCTACTTTCTGTTGTAGAACTTTTTGTTGAATTTTCCAGTTTGCATAGGTTGTCAGGATTAGCAAACACAAATGTTAGGATATGTAGTTAAATTTGAATGTCATACAAACATTGAATACTTTTTAGTATCCGTATGCCCTAGGCAATATTTGGAGCATCATATACCAGAAATGTATTGTTTGTTTGAAATTTAAATCTAATGGCACATTAAAGAAACTCCAAATTTAAATTTGTAATCAAGAACAGTCTACCTAATTCAGCAGTGACTTATGAGGTTGAATTTCAGAAGCAAAAAGTGAAAGTAGATATTTCCATTCATAGATTGAGTACAGGCATTTGAAATTCCACCTCACATTCTTAAGAACTAGTAAAAATGCTTACAATATTTTTCTTCTTGAGACTTGTCAATGAATCTTTTCCCAAATTGGAAATATTTTTGTAATGTAGACAAATGAGAAGAGTCTGACAGATCTTAGAATCTCAGTTTCTTTCCTTGTTTCCAGTATGACCCTGGAGAAATCAACTGAGTCTCAGTAGCTTATTTTGTTGTGATGAAGATGGACACGATACATTCTGAGAAGCACCTGTATACCAGGCACATATACTTGCTGAAAACATTCCAAGGTCTTTTTCCTTGTCGATTGTAAAGAATTTCCTTAGGTCGGCTTTAGGTGTATTATACTAAGAAACTCGTTCATGCAAGTAAATGCCCATGTTCCTCCTTCCTTTTATGCAACATGAGCAGAATGAAATAAGGTGGGAACAAATGAGCAGCCTTGTGGAGGGAAGAACTTGCATTACCTGACTTCATATTATGTTTTACTCTGACTCTAGAACTCACACATAATGAATAGTTCACAAATGGTACCTGTAATTACTACCTAAACTAATAGTTTTTGCTTTCCCCCAGGAGGGTACAGACCTGCCTTATTAGTAACTTTAATATGTGACATACATTTGCAAGGTATTTAATGAAGACTACTTGGCCTCGGAATTGGATTTCTATTTCAGGGGCGAAATGACTATACCATATAATCTTTCTAATGTGTCCTATGTTGAAATTGTCATGCCTGATTTAGGACTTCTCTCTTTGTGCACACAAAAAATATTACTCTTATTTAGAATGATGCAGAACTTACAGAATGGTGGCTGTGATGTCAAGTCTTTTTTGTGTGTCTGTAATCCTGGAGAAGAGCAGAATCCCAGAGAGAGAGGAAACATCAGCTGCCCTCAAACAGTTGAAAGACTGTCAGGTGGGAGGAAGGACCTTGATGTGGTGGGCTCCACAAGGCAGAACTAGAGTTGGGGAAAGGAAGGTAAAGGGAGGTGTGGTTAGATTTAAACAATCCGAACTGATTTGTGCGGCAATGCCTCATTGTGGTGAGATCTCCTCTATGATATTTGGATCACAGACTCATATGACTATCAGGAATATTATAGCAGTAACTATGACTGTTTTTTTCTTTATTTATAAAATGGGAATATTAACTCAAATTTATTAACTCACAGGTGAGAAATTTGATCCAGCTAAGCCTTTGCTCGTTTTTAGGTATCTATAAAAGGCAAGTTACAATGACTTCCCAAATTTGCTATAGATTAAAATTACCTTAAAAATTTTGAAAAAATCTAGATGCCCAGATCACATCTAATTTATTGGTGGGGGTATAGCCTGGACATCAGGATTTTCTCAAAACTACTTAAGCAATTCTTAGTAAACAGTTTTGAAACACTGAACTAACAGATTCATTAGAGTTATTCTGGATTTTAGTTGGACTCTGACACGAAGATAAAATATTGACCAACTCCTTAATTCCCACTTGGTACCAAATTCTTCACTGACTAAAAAGAGGGTGAAGCACAAATACCTATAAAGCACCTTCCTCTGAAGTGTTATTATTCCGGGGTCCTTAAATAGGTCAATAAACTAAAAGACACATCACAACTTTATAGAACTAGCAGAGGATCTCTTATCAGAGATATAGAAATTGCACTCTTTTCTTTCATTATAATGGCATTTTAATGCTAATTTAATGTCTCTCTTAATAGACTGGGAATGTTTTCCATTTCTAATCATTAGAGGAATTAGAATTGTCATTCACCCAAAATTGAGCAAAAAAAAAAAACAAAAAACACACACACACACAGTATACAAATGAGTATCTTTTCTTCATGTTTCCAAAAAGTACTTTGTTGCCAGAGTTAGTTACCTGATGAATGTTTGAACCTTTTTCTTGGTGTTCTGCACAGGTGGCTGGCTGTCTTTGTGCTTTATGGGGGAGGGGAAGGCTAATTGCCTTACAAATGGCATAGGGATTTATAAAGAGTTTTCCTGCCCTACGGAGAACACCTAGGTACTCCTTAGGTCTTGACTATACTTCTGCCCAAATGAGAGTTTGTCTCTCACTGTCATGCCACTCACATAGCAGCTGACCCTAGACAGGTAATGACCAACACAGGACTTCAGTTTTAGTTTTGTCCCCAAGGAAATTAAAGGAGGATACTCATATTTAAGTTTCTCAAAGATGTTGCTCATATTTCAGATAATCTACATTGTCAGTGAACTTTTATTTGCTATACCACGTGCATAAAAGCAATCAGAGGGGCCCTCCCTTTTGGCTCAGCAGGTTAAAGTACAGCACTAAGAAGCTAAAGCCACTTCAGCATGAGTTTGATGCCCAACCCGCAGGTGACCCACATCGCCTGGCAGACCTCTCCTGACCCCCCCGGTGCACCCCTCAGCAGTGTACTTCTTTGATCTGCCTGTTCTGCTCCCCACTCTGTCTCTGGTGAATCCTCTCACTGCTCCTGCACCTCTGGCCTGTACCCCAGTTCTGTATGCATAAATAAATAAATCTTTAAAATAAAAGTAATCATAGAAATGTGGAAACTTGTAAATATAAGTATCAAAAATGTATACAAAGTATAGTATTGAATGATTTAAAAAGGAAGGTGCTTCAGAATAGTCTCCTTTGAGTAGACTGAGTAGACTAGATGTTTCCTGAACATCTAGTTTAGAAAATATTAAACTATTCATTATTGTCTAGACAATTCAAGATAAGTCATTCAGTTGTAACAAAAACAATCTTAGTGGTAGAAAATTTTGGATTACATATGGAAGTGTTTTAAAAAACGATTTCCTTCTATTCTGACTATCAGACAAACACGCTTACTCCAGTTGTTTACTTAAATGCTACTAATGCACTTTGTGGTGGGGGGGCAGCGCAAAAACTTTTTTTTTTTTTTTTTTAAATCTAGGAGGGCGACAAAGCAATAAGAAGGGTCACAGGGCACCATGTTAGTGACAAATCACAGGAGGTGGCTCCAGAGAGGTTGTGAAAACTAGTCTCTCGTTGCAGGAATTGGGTTGGGCCACTCCTTCACCCCCCTTCTCAAACGCAAATATTTTCATATAATAAAAGTCTGTTTCCTCATGGTTAAAACGCAGCCTCCGCTCCCCCAACACCACGGTTTTAAAGGGGGATTCTGCGCCGACTTTCAAACTCCGTAGGTTTCCTCTTTCTAGAGCGTGTGTTTTGACGCACGGTGTCCCCCCGGGAGCTCACGCCGGGTGAGGGGACAAGAAACACCCACTAAGGCTCCAACCCCCGCAGCCAGCGGCTGCGAGCATGCGCCGAGAGTTTGTGCAGCTGGCCCTGGCTGCCGCCGCTGCCTCGTCCGGACTTGGCGAGGACTTGGGAGGGACAGCGGCGCTGGGAGGTGGCTTAGCGGAGACTTTCCAGCAACTGCTGCCCGGGACTCCTTTTTTTTTTTTTTTCTTTTTCCCAGGAGGCGGCCGGCGGCTGGGGGAGAGGAAGAGCAGGAAGCGTCCCCAGCGTGAGCCAATGCAGCCCTGCGACTCCCCGGGAGGAGCGCCCCTGACCCGATGAGCCCCCGCGGTGCGTCTCCAGCTGTCCCCGAGCGGCAGTGGGGCCGGGAGCCTGGCGCCGACGGTGAGTGGCCGCGCGTCTCCAGTCTTTCCTGCCCGCGTCCCGCCTGCCCTCCGCACTGTGTGCTAAACTACTTAGGGGTTGGCTTCAGGGCTCCCCGCCGCCCGCGCTTCCCCCCGCGCCCTGCCGGGGGCGCGCGGACTTGGTGGCCGGGGTTGGGGGCCGCGCTCGGCTTTGTGCTCGGCGGGCGGGTCCGGGCGCAGGGTCGCGGCCGGGGCCGGGGGAGGGGTTCGGGAATGACTAGCCGGCGTCGGCACAGCTGCACCGGCCCCGATTCCCCGTTCCCTCCCCGCCCCCAGCCCCTGGCTAATCCATCATTCCCGGGTCGAAACATCATTTCTCACGTTCTCCCAGGGAAATCCAAGTTGCCAGGAGGAATCTCTGCTGAGCGCTGCCCCCCTCCAGCGGGACGCCCCGCTTTCACCCGGGAGCTGCGGGTCGGGTCGGGGCGCGTGTGCGCGCACACAGTTGCAGGTCCCAGTTCTGTCCTGGGACTCTCGCGCCCTTGGACTCTCAGGCCGTGCTTGTGCCGGCTCCGCGAGGTCCTGGGTTTGCTAATTTTCGAGACTGCTGGGAACAGGGCTGTCCCCGAGGAGGGTCGTGGACTGGGGGAGGTTGTACAAGACTCGTCAGAATGCAGAGGACCCCGCCGCGTGTCCCCTGAGAAGGGGCGTCTACCGTGAGCCTTCATTCATCCGGGAGTCAGTCTTTTCCCAACAGGTGTTATCTGAAGCCGATTTGGAACTTTTGAGAGTTTAGGTTACTGTTAAAACTTTTAACAAATGATTTCGGGGGAAGCAGCGTCTCTGTGAACTGGCTACGGAGCAGACCCTGGACCTAGCTGCTGGCGGAGGAGGGGTAGTGGCCTGGGGGTGGGGAGCGTGCTGGTGAGAAGTCCTGTGTTCTTCCCGGCCCCTGCAGATCGCGGCCACTTTGCTGTTAGGGGTAGGATGTGGTGAAAGGATGGGGCTTCTCCCTCCCCAAGCTCACAATGGCCAGAGAAGATTCCGTGAAGTGCCTTCGCTGCCTGCTGTACGCGCTGAATCTGCTCTTTTGGGTAAGTCAAGCAGTTCCACTGTACCAACAGGTGGGGACGGCTGGGCTCGGTTTGGTACGGCCACAGCGTCACGCGCCCAGGGCTGGGCTAAGCATTCATTAATTGCGTCCGATCACACCCTCTATTTCTCTGAGTAGATTTTGCCCATAAAATGCCTTTGATCTAGCTCTCGAGTTACATTTGTAATTAGAAAATAGAAATCCACCCCAGGACACTAGTGGCAGTAAAATTAGACTTGAAGTTAATCTGGGATATAAATAAGTGCACGTGCTTGTAGATAACAAAATCATGACATACTACAGAGGGAGCGTCTCCTCTTCAGGAATTTCTGATAGCCATGCAAGCCACAGATTGTTTCCTTACGTCATCCTAGCCTAGAAAATCTGTTGGAGCAAACAAGCTTACTGTGTTTGTAGGAATTCATACTCAGGATATCCTATCAAAAGACGATAGATTTTTCCAGGAGATTCCATACAGCCTGAAAAGGTGATTTTCATGTACTATTTCTAAGTTGGCAAAGTTTTAAGGAATTTTGTACGTGCTTTTGGAAAATCCCATAGTCATTTGAGGAAATAAAACACATAAAATTTAACAAGCTCTTGGAAATCTTTATGCCCTATGAGCTGGTGACTTGTTATGCTTTGCACCTAGGCATACATTTTTATTGTTATTAATAATCCCATTATTATTTAATAAAATTTATGAAGAAAACGTGGAAATTAAAGTTTGAATGCTATTTCAAGAAGTTGTCATGCTTAAGCACATTTGGGGTGTTAATTTTGTGCTTTACTAAATTTTACATTCAAAATCTTCTGCTAAAAATGTTAGTGCATAATTTTGTCTGACTGACCAGCCCTTTCCGCAGGTTTGTGTTCTCTAAGGGATTGCATTTTGGATGACTCCACTTTAAGGTGATCAATTAAGACTCACTTCATTAAGTCATCTGAATGATGTTTAAACTGGCAACATTATTTTTACTCAGCAATAGCTAAATTCATCCACTTGGAAATGCAGTATCACTGATCCTTTTGCAGTTTTTGATTCTAAAAGGCACATGTTATGTGGATTATTAAATTACCCGCTTAGTTTAAGGTATTCAGATTCTAACTTTGTTTCTTCAATATGAGTAGTAATTGTTATCCCTGCTTACTCATTAAGCACTTTTCTATTTTATGCTATTTAATTATAGACATCACTTTTTTTTTATAACTAAAAGAGAGTTTAGGGTGACCTGGTTGAACTCCCTTCAGATATGGATGAGAAAGTGTAGCCCCTCAGTGGTCAGTGACTTGCTGAATGCCTGAGAGCCAGGATGACAGCCCTAGGAGCAGAACTCAGTCCTCTTATCCCCAGGTAATGCCCTTATATGGACACTGAGTTTTGAATCCTTGAATTACTTAAACTTTTGTTGTTGTTGTTGTTCAATATAAGGGATCCCAAATCATTTAATAAATGTATTGTTCTTCTGTATAGCAAAATTTGTTTTAAAGCAAGTATTCCTTAACTCCCCTAGGTATGTAGTGTCTTTAAAGACGTCAAAAGGTTCTTTTTGTGGCTAACCTGCTCTTTAACTTTCTCATTTTCTGTGCACATGTTCTGATTTATTGTGATTGCTTTCATCTTTCTCCAACCTTCCTCTTTTCTCCAATGTTGCCTTCCCTCCAACAAAATAATCCATGTTAACTCCCTAGTATGTATCCCTGTTTTTCTTTACTACAAAGATATATGTTCATATGCCTGTCTACATACACCCATTCACGTAATTCATATATTCATTCCGCATATTTTTGCTACATTTTTTTTCACTTGGGTTAGAGATTCAGGAGTGAGATTGCTATGTTTAAAGATACGTATTGACTTTGATGACAAAACAGTTAATGTTTATATAGCTCTTCACAAATTTGTCAAGAACATTTAGTTCTTTAGGCTCCTCTATAAAGTAGGAAAGAAAGTTGCTATTTTGAAGAGTTTTATGAGGATTAGAGTTAACATATATGTATATATATATATTCATGTGTGTGTGTATATATGTATATACACACACATATATACCCTTAGAATGGAGACAAGACAAGTGTTGGGATCTCCCTGGCACAATGGGTTAAAGCACCGCATTATGAAGCTCTTCAAAGCCAATACAGGAGTTCGGGATCCCTGCCCTGGAGGTGACCCACATGGCGAGGCAGACCCCTCCTGACCCACCTGCTGCTCCCCTCGGTAGTGTGTTTCAGTAGATCTGCCTGTTCTGCGCTCTACTCTGTCTCTCACCCATCACTCCTCTGGCCTGTACAGCAGTTCCATAAGCATAAATAAATAAATCTTAAAAAAAAAAAAAGAATGGAGGCAAATGTTATCTATAAAGCAGTATAGATTAATGATCATTAAATAACCATAAGGTATTTGCTGCTATCTTGGTGGTATTACAGCACTTTTTAATTTTTCTCAGTTTGAAAAACTATGAATATCTCAGTTTTATTCTATTTCTTTTTCGTCCTTACTATCAGTGAGAAGGCTATTCTTCTGTCTTTATATATATTCATTGTGTCTCATTTCATGTCACTTCTGTTAAATAGTTCATATTTACAATTGGGATTTACCCTTTTGTCTACCTGTTGATAGCATTTGTAATGAAATAACTCTGCACTAATTAAACATGGTTTTATATGTTCTTCTTAATAGAATCTTTCTTTACAATTTTACATGTTCTGTTACAGTCTTGTGTTCTGACAGTTGTCTTTCTTTTCCTGTCTATGGTTTCTTTTTCCATATCAACTTTATGGCCTCTTTATTTTGTACAACAAAAAAATACCTGTCACGACTTTTGTTGAGACTGGAGGAAATGTCTTTGGGAAAACTGGCCTTGTTCTTTCAGAAGTGAGGCAAAGCTTGCAGGTCCTATGTCTCCTTACTGTGTCAGAAATAATTTTCTGCCTTGTGCTAGACACCTTCTTGGGTGCCAGGAAATAGATTTTCGAGTGCATGTGTGTATATTTGTGTGTTGTTTGATAAAAAGAAGTTACTCAGAGTTCAGTAACTTGTTATGAGGAACATAACAGGAATTGACAGTTCGTTGTTTTTTTCCTCCAAGGGCACTAGAAATGGGACTACTGAAAACAGTGATAAATTTATTTGCAGCAGAGAAGTAAACATCCTCAGTGGGAAGGGATTAGCTGTCCACCTGCTGATTCCACTGACTCTGGAGCTGTGCTTCCAGCCATCTTATGCATAAGAATCACCGGGGCATCTTGTTCAAATAAAAATTCTGATTCATTGTACTTGAGGTTCACTAGCGCGTCTGCATTTTTACAGAGTTCCTCTTAGTGAGGAAACGTTGGTTTGCAGCACTGATGTGATTTAGAGGTACAGGTTCACACCTGTAAGCTTTATGTTGCCATGCCCCCGCCAGGACCAAAGCACAGAGCCTCCACCATAGTCCACTGGGCCTTTCCCCCTGCTGCCTGCTTCCCCTACCCCTGCAGTCAGAGTCCAGGGGGTTATTTTTTATAGTGTTTATGATACTTCTAAATATTTTAATATTTTAAACATGTGAACCTAACAAATGAGGTGAACCCCATTTCTTAAACCAGACTTCATAGCAGACTGAGTATGCAGAAGGGATACTGTTCTCTCTACTTTTACAAGGTTGGGAAACTTACCTTAACACTCTGTGAGAACCAGGAGCTGTATCCTTTCCCTCTTCACCTGACATTTTATTTTTAAAGATTTGCTTATTTATGCCTGTAAGAACTGGGGCACAGGCCAGAGATGTGGGGAGGGTGGTGGTGATAGGATTCACCAAAGACAGAGTGGGGAACAGAACAGGCAGATGGAGTGAAACATACTGCTGAGGGGAGCAGCAGGTAGCACAGGAGAGGTCTGCTGCGCCATGTGGGTCACCTCACTGGCCAGGAATTGAACTTGTTCTGCAGTGGCTTCAGAGCGCTTCATAGTGTTGTGCTTTAACCCGTTGTGCCACCAGGAGGGCCCACCTCTAACATTTAAAATAGACTTTTCCTCTCTACTTCTACCACTCTGGTCCCCTCTCCCTTACTCAAGAATTTTCAGAGGGAAAAATTATTCTTCACAGGGAAAATGCTGAGGAACTAGTTCCTTTGTTTTGCAGCCCATTCCAGGAGTTGAAAATCAAACGGACTGAAAAGGTTTCTGAGTACTTACTATTTTCAAGTGTGAGGCAACACTCCCCAGCACCTTCAAGGTCACAAATGCACTGCATTCTTTGTATTGCTGTGGACCCAGTCACCATGGTCTGCCCAGTGTTGAATGGCACTGCCCACTGTGAGGAAGCATGACCCCGGTACCACTGCCCTGTGGTTGGCAGACATCCGGGACCTTCTATGTGCATCACGAGTGTGGTGGTTTATAATGAATAAGAACATGTGGGACTCAATGCCCCAGAGTAAACTGCCCTAAGAACTCTCTTGAAACCATGGTTCATCTTTTGGCTATGATGGAGCAAGAAAATGGTCTGTTTTGAATTCATATTTATCATGTTTTTTTTTTTCTATGAGATGACATGTTATTTAAATAAAGCAAGTGTCCCTCCATTCTAAAGACAACTTCTGTGACTTTATGATACAAGTGTTTGTGTTTCTTAGAGGTGACTTTCTGCTGTAAGCAATATGGTAAATATGGTTCTCTTTGGAATTTTTTTTAAAGGTTTATTTATTTATACACACAGAACTGGGGTACAGGCCAGAAGTACAGGGGCAGTCGGAGGATCTGCCAGAGATAGAGTGGCGAGCAGAACAGGTGGATCCCCTGAAATACACTGCTGAGGGGAACAGCGGGTGAGACAGAGGAGGTCTGCTGTGCCATGTGGGTCACCTCCCTGGCTGGGGATCAACTCAGTGCTGAAGTGGCTGTGGCTAGCTTCACAGTGCTGTGCTTTAACCTACTGTGCACCAGGGACAGTCTCTTGGGAAATTTCTGATATTAATGAACATTATTATTATTATTATTTTCTGATAATAAAATAAAGT